GGCCCGGCCGTGCCGCAGCCCCCGCTGTCGCCGCCGCGCCGCTCCCGGGCTCGGCGATGGCAGCCGGCTCCGTCGCGGCGCGGGTCGAGTTGTTTTTGTCAGTGCTGCGCTCGCGGTCGTCCTCGCGGGCTGAGCCGTTGGGAGGTGGCGTGGCCACCTCCATTAGGGATGGCACTCACGTTGGGGAGCGGCCTGGGGGGTATTGACCGGGAAGGCGGCGATGGGTCCCTTCCAGCCAGCGGCGTCTGCGCGTGTTGCAATGCACTGCGGTGCCGGGGCGGATTCTGAGTGGGAGTGGGCGCGCGGCGCCGGGGGCGGCGGGCGGCGGATCTGGGCGCGGGGGGCGGTGAGTGGCCTCAGCTTTTATAGCCTGTTGCCCATTTTGGAGTTTTCCGCTGGACAGAGGGCGGACGGGAGGTTCGTTCTGGTGCCTGGAGTGGCAGAAGGAGAGGTGTCTGTCAAAAGACCAAAGCCAAGGAGAGAAGAAGCTTGGCCCGACAGCGGTGCTGGGCTCAATGGTACCATTCCTGGGACTCGGTAGTAAAACTTTCCTCTTTGGCAGGCTTGGGGTACGGCTTAGAGAAGATAAGCGTGGAACTTGGGGGAGAAATACTGGATGTACACTTGTAGAGAAGCTTACCCCTTAGGTTCATTCTTGCTCTAAAAAAAAATGGTCTTTTGAGTTAATGTTTACGTTCAGGTTTTCCTGTTTTCTGTTAGGATCACTTGGTATTAATGTGTTTGTGTTTCCTTTTGAACATAACAGTAACCCGTATTGTTGAAGTATGCATAGTTACCTTTCTTTTACAAGTATATATATATACTTATTTTGCTTATTCCAAAGGTAGAAACTTTAGGAAAAACAGCTCTCCATATGTTCCAGGCACAGTTCTGTGAGCTTTCACTCACTCAATTCTTACCGCAACATGAGGGGTAGTTAATAATATTGTCCACCTTTTACAAGTGAGGAAATCCAGACGCAGAGAGCTGAAATAACCCAAAGTCGTATAGTTATTAAAAGTTAGAGCCTAGTTGGTCTCTCAGTGCACTCTTAAGCAACTCGTATATTTATCTATATGGCACCCCATTGTGCCTAAAGTCTTCTATGTTTCGTATATTGATCACATTTCTCTACCAAGATGAACATCTTAACTATGTGCTACGGTTGGACACAATTAAGGTTTTCTAATTTTTAATACTATATTATAGTAAATATCCTTTGAGTACTTTTGTCACAATTAACCAAGTTTCCTACAACAATTATAAACTAAAGTAGTATTTATCAGCAAAGTTAAGATTTTCAGCAGTTAAGATTATCAGCCAAGTGAATTATCACAAAGCAGGTGGCTGAATTGATCTATAGTTTGCACTTAATTTTAAACTTCCTAAGGTATTAGTCTGGTCTTTGCTCAAAACATGGCCATCATTTTCCTCAGAACACCAGAATCTTTGGGCAAGTTTAATCATCTTTAATCCAGTCGTTCTGACTAGAGGTTAAGCAGTTTTAAAAGAAGAATTCTGCAGTTCTCTTTAAACTGTCAGTGATTAAAAGTGGGTTATATTTTGAGGGTGTTCGTGTATGTCTATACCTTTTAGCCAGCTGTACGTGCTTTATACAAAGTTGCGTAGCAATGAAGACTGAAATCAAAATTTCTCATTAGTTCTAAGTTGAAATACTTTTAAAATCTCCACTTGCTTTAAATGAACCACGATATGAAGAAAGGTCTCAGTGGGGTGAACTCCCAACTGCACAAATTTAGAGAATTACTCATTTGAGCTTATCATGAACTCTCATAATATTCATTTTATTGGATGGATGTCTCTCTTAAGTCTTCATCTGTTATTTCTTCAAGTAAATTTAATTGCTCCTTCACATAACCAGTTTCAAATTATTTTGACATTCACAGATTTCCTTAATTCTTGTCTCTCAGTTTAATTAAATTCAATATACATATTTCAAACCAACAATTATTCAACATTATAAGTGAAAAGACTAGAATCCAACTGAACTACATGGACACATGTTCTTTGGATATGAAAAAAAAAATTATCCTGTTCTTCAGTGGTTAACCTCCTCCATGCCCCAAATTATGGCTTCAACTTTATTTTGGGATACCAGAGCAGTGCTGTGGTCAAAATAGTTACATGCTATCACATACAGTGTTTGTGTTACTGAAATTGAATTTGCTTTTTCCAAGTCTGTATGAAACGTTAATTGTTTATTCTCTCATACATAGATATGTCCTTTCTTACCTAACTCAGGACTGTTCCGGTTTTCTAGCTTCTGTTACTTATTTTAGAGAAAGCATTCCCTTGCTACTTTTACCTCACCTGGTAGATATGACATGACTTTTTCCTTTCAAGTCCCACACCTCTAGTTTTGGGAGAATTATAATGTCTCTGCATCCTGAGAGCCCCTCTGTTTCAGGTGCTGGATGGGGAACTAGGGATCAATAATGAGCAGAAAGATGAGTGAGCCCTGCCAACACAGGGGGTCAGATTTTAATAAAACAATTATACAAAGAAGCGTTTATTTGCAAATTGAGGTAGTTTCTCTGAAAGAAAGAATTCTATAAAAATGTGTAATAAAGGATTCTGCACTAGACGTAGCGGTCAGAACAGGATGCCCAAGCAGTCACATATTTGTGGAGGAATGACATGTGAGAAGGTGTTTACTAAAGTCAATTGTCTTCTTAAATGCGTTCATAAATCTTTTCTGAATTATTTTCTGAATCAGAGACTTTTGTCTCACTCTGGTTATTGCTACACTTCTCTATTCACCAGGAGCCATACTATTTACCATCATTATTCACCTAGGGACACGGGGAGATTTACGAAACTATCAATACCTTTTAAAGCATGTAGAGCATGGACTACACTTATCTAGTTATTAACTTATGTATAGAAAGTTATTTAAGTTTAGTGAAATATAATCATTTTCTTTCTTTGCCTTAACAACTACTTTGGAATTTTAAAAAAGTAGTTGTGTGTGTGTGTTTAGTTGTTAAAAGTGGCAGAATGTCTCAAAATAGAAATGCAATTGATTCATCACACAGTCCCTAAGATTCTCTGAAGTGTCCAAGGGAAGAGAAGAGACCCCAGAGTAAGGGAGGTGGTATTAAGTGATGAATATGCTGGGAACATATGTATTAACAATTTCAAGCAAGCATAGTAACTAAATTTGTTGAATAGTTACTGTGTGCTGGGTATTCTGTGGGATATAGATAAATTAACTTATGTATTCTTCACGATTGCCTAGAGGTCTGCATGCATTACCTATATCCCCATTTTATAGAACAGGAACTGAAGCATGAAAAGAGCAATAATCATGACCACTGTCACATAGGTAGGGATAAAACCCTAAATTCAAGTATTCTGATATTGTAGTCCACACTGTTAGCTGTTGATGTGTAGCACCTAGTTCATAATTTTACTAATGCGTTAAATTCCCATCATCGTTGAAAATAGTAACACCTCCTAATTTGATCCTTTGGTTACTTTTCCCTTAATAAAAATCAGTGGGAAAAAAATAGAACTTCCTTTATGGCAATGCTTTTTGCTCCATATTTTACAGGCAAAATATACATAAAGCAAGAAGAGATATATGAATTCCTAGACAAAGATTGGAGACCACTAAATTATGAGAAATTTCTCATTATATGTTATATATTTTTAAATTCAAAAATAGTCATTTGAGCAGCATTTGAAACTATTGAAATTTTTAGCATCAAGAATATGTACTTCAGCATTTCAAGTAATTAGGGAAATATCTTTAACAGCTGGAAGTTCTGTGACCATTTATAAACTTAAGAATTTTAAGTCACCTGTTTCACCTACCCCAGTGTCTGCCCAGAGTATGCACTGCAAAGAGGACATAAAGTATGACATAATAACACCTGTTGAATTGTCTTGGTAAGATTTAAGACCCTGTTAATTTTTACATTGGGATCTTCTGACATGACTCATAGTAATTGTTATGATAAAAACTTAGTCGTTTTGAATATTATCCAAATAATGCTAATCTAAGACACTTGGAGTATATTATTAGGAAAGTGAAGTGCTAATTCGTTAAGTGTACAAATCATATAAAGATCTTTGCACAGTGTCTGAAAATGTTAGCCAGTGTTATTTCTCCCTGAAAATGATGGGTAATGTGCAGCTGATAGGATAACCATGAATCACAGTTCATACATAGAGCACACATACAATTACATGACTCCTTTCTTTGAAACTGTTGGAAATGCTTAAGGCAGTGCATACATTTTCTGTTACTCCAGTATCCCTCTCAAGAATGTGATACATCATTTCTCTGTATGCTCAGTTTCATACAAAGCTTGATTTCATGGAATAATTAGTAAACTATTGCTCTAATTTATACCATAAGGAAGAGCTGCAAGATTTGATCTGACTTTGTGTGTGTCTGTGTGTGTGTGTGTTTGGTGTTATCAGAGTGGAGGATGACATCGA